GAGTTTAGATACTAAAAATATTTAACGTTAAATCCAGATTTCTTTAGTAATGTTGGTTTTCTTTCTTTGGGGAACTTCAAGTTAATTCAGCCAATTAGTGACTCTTAAACATATCAACCTCCATGCAGAGCAGCGGTTCTCAACCTGTGGGTTGCGACCCCTTTGGGGACCGAATGACCCTTTCACCAGGGTAGCCCGATTCATAACAGTAGCAAAATTACAATTATGAAGTAGCAATGAAAATAATTGTATGGTGTGTGTGTGTGTGTGGGGGGGGCTGTCATCACAACATGAGGAACTGTATCAAGGGTTGCGGCATTAGGAAGGTTGAGAACCATTGATCCGGCGCAAAGAAGAGTGAAGAAACAGCACAGATCCTGGGAAAGAATTGGTCTTCGTGACTAATGGAGGACATAATCTCAGCCTCCATGCCCCGAAACTAGAATTACTAGATGGTGCCTGGCCACCACACCAACACCTCTGGTGAGCCCAATAGAAGTTCCTGCATTGAGGGACAGAAAAATGTGTGTGGGGGGGTGGGGTAGGGGGGTGGTGGAAATAAAAATCATTATTATTTTTTTTAAAGATCAAGATCTCTGGTCTGTTAGGACCTGGCAGAACTGCTAAGACCTTGAGTCACCGTTGAAGCCTTGAGCTGACCTCCCCCTAGAGACCCATAAAATGAACAACAGCACTGGGGAGGTCCAGACTCTAAAGCAATCACAATGGAAGGGATCTCTAAAATGTTCCTGTAAAATGCCTATTATAAAAAATATATATATGCACAGATTTCAGCATTTTTTTGCACCAAAATCAACATATCATTTGATCTGCCTGAACAAGATAGGGTTTGAGGTACTAAGAAAAATAAGAAATCCATCTTATTTTTAGAGACCCAGCAGAGTAATGTGATTCATACTAAACCTGAAACAACATAATACATTAATGCAAGGTCAAGATTGGGTGGGAAAATGGTGAAATGGAAGGTTATGGGGGCAGTGCTGGAAAGAGATGAACAGTTCACAAATGGATAACTCATTCTCAGGGGATGAGATGATGCAGTACATGAAGCTAGCAGCAGTCATTCACATAAATTTGCAAGAAAAACATGTAATATTATTCTAATCCCAATTCAAGAGACTTAAAATTAACAATAGACACCATCTCCAGTGCCACAGTCATCAAATTTATTTTGATAATAATATTCTAGCTAAAATAATTACAATTGAGCAAACTTCCTCCTTTAAGAGTGCCCAAACTGTTGTGGCCAGATCAGCAGCAGACAAGAATTGAACTTCAATGGAAATGATAAACAAGTGGTTTTCAATCATGAAGAATTTCTTACATGAGTTGCAACAGGAGAGGATACATGGCTTTACCAGTATGGTCCTAAACATCAAGCCTATTCAAAGCAATTTTACCAAGAGGTGGAAATGGTTCAGCCCAAACAAATATGGACCTGTGAAGAGCAAAGATCATGGCAATGGCTGTTTTCGTTATTGTTAATTTGGATACTCACGGTATTTTACTGATTGGATTTTTGGAGAGTCAAAGAAAAATTAAAAAAAACAGTGAATACCAAACTCACTGCCACTAAGTCAATGCTGACGCCTAATGACCCCACGGTGGGTTTCTAAGACAGTAACTGTTTTTGAGAGTAGAAAGCTCAGTCTTTCTCCTGAAAGGTACTGGTGGTTTCTAACTACTTACCATGAGGACCAAAGCCCACCGGGTAACCATTACATCACCAGAGCCCACCATGTAACCATTATGTCACCAAAGCCCACCGGGTAACCATTACATCACCAGAGCCCACCATGTAACCATTACATCACCAGAGCCCACCGTGTAACCATTACATCTTCTGCAAAGAACAATCACTTCTGCTTATGATAAGTGTTTTGAGAAAGTTTGCAAAAGATTTAACAGAAAACAGATAAGAGCTCACAAGCCCGGGATATCCAGAACAGATAAACCCCTCAAGACCAATAAGAGGAGTGTGATACTAGGAGGGTAAGGGTTAGGCTAGGGGAGGGGGGGAGTAAGGGAGAACTGATCACAATGATCAATGTATGACCCCCATCACAGGGGGACGGACAGCAAAAAAGTGGGTGAAATGAGACAGCCAGCAGTGGTGTAAGACATGAAAACAAAACAAAAATAGAATTTATAAATTATCAAGGGGACATGGGGGAGGTAGAGGAGGGGATGGGGGGGA